ATCTTTTTTTAGGAAAACTGAAACATACTGGCACAAGTGCTGATGTATTGCAACAACAATTGCATCTGCAACAGCAAGCAATGGTTGCTGCCGCAACTGCTGGTGCTCCTATTCCCACTTTAACGGATGGTATTGTAAATGTTATACAGTCGTCGGCTAATTCACAGCAGCAGCAGCAGCAACAACAGTTAGTCGACACTAGTCAACCGCCACCGATCAGACCTCCAACATCGGCTGCACTATTGCCTCCTCCAAACACACAATTGCAAATGATGCCGCCTGCGTTTACGATGCCTGGAGTGCCACGTAAGAGCTTACATCATTTATTTTTTGAATTCGATTCTTTTTCCCGAATATTCAGATCAGTACAATTTTGCATCTTCATGATAGATATATAATATTTAATGTAATTATTAAAAATATTACAATTTAAATGTATTAGAAATTAATGTGTTACATTAATTAATGTATTAAATGTATTAGTTTGAACGAATTAGTTGATCTTTTTTTAGATTTGCATACAAATTTTAGTTTACTTTTCTCTTTTGTATTTATTTATTTTAAATTTTTGCATAAAAAAATTTATTTTTTTACAGCACGACAATGTTATACGTTATGATACAATAAAAGAATTGAAAATGTAATGAAAAGTGTATGTACCAATAATTGAATGATTTACCGGGATATAAATGCATATTAAGATGATAATAGTTTTAATTTCTAGACAATGTATTCTATGATTCTTATATATACAAGTATATATGCAATATATATATATATATATATATATACAAATTTTATACAGGAGTGATTAGCCACATGGGCCTACAAATGACACATGGCTTAATGCCGAATGTTCCGATTGGAGTTCCACCACCCAACATGCAAAGCTTGTTAGGACCACCCGGCATGATGCAGACAATGTTGACACCTTCAGTAAGCTCGCCATTCGGAGCAGGCGTTGGCGTAGGTTTACTGACACAAATTCCACTGCCCGCACCTGCAGCGCCTTCGGATAAGCCAAACTCCACAGGTATGTGCAGTTTTTTAACAAATAGAAAAAAATATGAATACTTCTCAAAAGGAACTGCCAATACTTACATTTTCCTAGCCAGTAGTTAAAATTCATCACAATATTTTATATCAATGATAAGATATTTTTCATCCTATTCTTATTAAATTTGAATAATAAAATAATACCTAATATCTATATCTTAAAATATAATATATAGTAAATGAAATGAAGAAAATAACGTGATGAGTAAAAATTTAGCACAATCATAAAACAAAAAATTATATTGTTACTACAAATTCAGTTCTCTCGATTCTTTTACCTTCTGTGAGTTATTAATTTTAAGAATAAAATTGAATAAAATTGAATATTTATAATTAAATTATAATTAAATTTATAATTGAATATTGTATCACATGAATAGTTTTCTATTTTGAGAAGAAGTTAATACTTGTACACACGACAAGCGAATAGAAATAATTAGTTATCAGTTCTGTTAGTCTTAAATGTTAGAGAATCTTGTATTCTTAGATCGAACTTTAATTGAATCCATCATGAAGATATTTTATGACACTTGCTGTCGCAGTAAACTTGGCTAATCATAGCCAAACAGGATACGAGATCCTGAATATTGCAGGTATGCCGCACAACGTCCCACCGATTGGAGTGCCTCCGCCTACGACGGAGACGAGTATGCCGAACTTGCCGATGTTGCGACAACCGTACGGGGTTGGTCCAGCGCCGCCGATGCAGATGCAACTACCTCAACAGCAGCACCACTCGGATGATATGGATGTGGAAATGGAGGACGCGATGCCACAAAACTTGAACAGCAACGTGCCCAAGGACAAGCCGAACCTCAGCGACCAGTTGATTGCGGCGATGAATATAAGCGGCAATGTAAACGATTGTCGTTTGGAGAACGATCAGTCTCGTGATTATAAGGAACGGGAACGTGATCGGGAGAACAGGGAGAGGAGGGACAGGAGTGAGCGAGATCGCGGAGATCGCATGGATATTAACGAGTGCAGAATGGATCGTGGTAGAGACAGAGGAAGGGGACGTGATCGCGGCCGAGATAGACGCGGGAGAGATACCCGCGATGGTCGCGACAGAGAGAGGGACGAGAGACGCGACAGGGACAACCGTGAAACCCGAGAGAGTCGGGACAGCAACATTAGACACTCTCAGGAGGGACCGAGTGCGCAGAATCAAAACGTCCAGGAAGGCGAGGGCATGGCGAAAAAGGAGAACAAGCCCAGTCTAGCTGACCGACTGCGGCAATTGGCGGATGGTAAATTACCATTAGATGACCGAATGGACAGAAACATGCGTGGTAACCGAGCTGAGCGTAGCAACGAGCGAAACGACAGGAGCTTCGAGGAAAGTCCTGGTGGCGGAGGAGGACGGCGACCACCCGGTGACATGCCGATCTCGCTGATGGATCTACCGAAATTTGGTGGAGTGTTGCCTCCGGATCGAACAGATTTTCCACGAGGACCGGATTTCCGGAGCGGACCGCCGGATTCGCGAGAGTTTCCACAGCGCGGTCTGCCAGATCGGCCTGATCGACAGAACTTCCCCCCGCGACCACGAGCTGCACAGATGGATGACTTTCATGATTCTAGGATGCAGCCTGGCATGTTCCCAGAGGATTATGATGGTAGACTGGGCGCTGGGCACAATGGACCTCGACCCGATGACTTTCCACCAGGCAGGCTAGGACCAGCCCGGGATGATTTCGAGCGACCGGAAATGCGTAGTCGTAGACCACCCGTAGATGAATACGAACGTGAACGTTTCGAGTTCGAGATGAGGCGCGACGGATTTGACCCGCGAATGCAGGATGGCTTCGAACATAGAGGTCACAACGAGCGCTCCGACTTCGATCTCCGTAGAAGAGAGTTCTTTGGTGGCCCGATGGAGCCTGCATTCGGAATGCCGCCTTTGATGGGCCCTAAGGGACCGAGAGGACCGATTGGTCCTGATGGATTTGGACCGCGAGGAGCCAGGGGACCTGGTAAGACATGAGTTTTTTAACAACTTTATAACTATTTGGCATGTGTTTTATGTTAAAAAATATTTATCTTTTATAAAAATAAGACATTTCTTACTATAAATTCAACAATTCTTATCGAGAATATTAAAATTTTAATATTTCAATAGAATAATTAATATTAAAATCAATATTTAATATTATCTAAGTATGTGTCATGGTCATTTTGATTTTACAAATAAATTTATTATTCATTTTTAATTTTTTTCCGATACATAATATTTAATCTAAAAAAAATAGAAACATTAAAATTTTTAATTTAGAAATGAAGTTATATTTATCATAAAAAATTTTATTATTAAAGACATTTTAATAACTTTAATCGTAACAATGATTCATTAATTTAAATATAACATCTAAATTGGAAATATAATATAAAAAATATGGTGAATGCATCATAATCATAATCAAATTTTATTAAGTTTAACTTTAATTAAAAAGAAAAGAAGAGGAAGAAAAATGAGGAATAATTAAATTAATAATTAAAGGAATAGTTAGTGTTTTTTTGGAAATTATATTTCTTATATAAAATATACAATTTCTCCCCTTCTCTCTTTCATACATGTAATTCCTGTATTTATGTACGCATGTATTTCACGGCATAATTATAATTACAAATTTTTTATAAACTTATATCGCATGTTTATAAATAGTAATTATATTGTGTAAATTTCTAAATGTTAGTTTATCCATTTAATTTCTTCGCCTCACGGTTTACATAGCAAAAGATACATGAGATTCGCTGTATACAGTGAACGAAAATCTCATTAATTAGAACAGTGCAAATGCGATTGTGTTTCTTGCTTCGTGCGTGTGTCATTTTTTGCCGCGTTTTTTGTAGGTCCATTGATGTTTCATCTACGGGGCATGGGCCCACGAGGTATGAGGCCCGGGATGAGACCGCCATTTGCACCTCGAGGCCCACCGTTCGATCCCAGAGAAGCGGACTCTTTCTTCCGACCGCCATTCGATGACATGCGTGGTCGTCCAGGACCGCACATCCGACCGCCATTTGGTCCAATAGGTCCACCAGCAATACATGGACCAGATGGACCGTGGAGGAATCCGGAGGGCGGTGGACCACCGTCCGCTTCGTGGTCCGGGCAGGAATCCGACGGACACGGTCAACGTGAGAATCACCTCGCACGGGACAAACAGAAGATGGCGAAGCATCAGGACTATAAGAATATGTCCGAGAACCGTAACCGAAATCGTAAATCCAGATGGGGTAACGTTAGTCCGCCGTTAACGGACGATGTGGACGATATGCCATCGGAGGATACCGAAAATAAAGCGGAGACTTCGGAGGGCGGAAAGCTGGAGATGAAAGATAGTTTTGACGCTTCGTCCTCGGCCGCTGACCAGCAAAATCCAATGCAAAAGAGTCAAGACGAGTCAGCGATTCACGAGCAAGATATAATGCGCAGGGAAAATGAGTTTGCAAGTATACCGAACGATCAGGGTATGGTCGACGAGATGAGCTATGGAAATGATGAGGCTCAGGTCAGTACCTTCGAAATTGGCACGGACCACTTCTCCAGCAACGATTTAGCGCTAAAGCAGCGGGGTGAACAGGAACAGTGTGAATACGAAGCGCCCATTCCAGCTGAAGATTCAGCGCAACAAAATGTGGTACAATCAAGCGAACAAATAGGGCACGTCAGTGAGAATCATAGTGAGCAATCAGTGGAACAGCAAGCGGATTCTTTATAAAAACGGAGATAAAGGGATAAGGAATGGGATGAAAATATTGCTATTGGGAAAATTACCAAAGTAAAGTTTAGAGAATCTTCAGGCAGATTCGTGTAAAATATCGTTTTAATCGATACGATGTACATAGAGTCATGCTACAGAGGGAAAGATAG